TATTTTAATATTTTTTTTATATTTTTAAATAATTAATTTTAAAAGTTAATAAAATTTTCAAAAATATATGAAATTTATAATTTTTTAAAATTATAAAATATTTCTTATTATCATCATCGCCATCATCATTTTGTAAAATAAATATTAATTATAAAACTTTTATAAAATTATTCATATTTTAAATTACTTACACTCAAAGTTTTTATATATTAGATTATACGTTATGTGTAATTTCATGCAAAAGTTAAAATTTATCGAGTTATAAAATAATTTGCAAAAGAAGATTTAAAGATTTTAATACAGAAAGTTTTTTGCACACAAAAAAAATTGACGTTGTTACACAACAATCACCCTAATAGAAATTAATTACATATTATGCACTATTTTAAAACAAATTACGACACTAGCACCCAGTCTTTACACGTTGCATAAGGCGCGGTGCATGGCCGTGCCTTTCAACACGTGGCACCACATCAACGTATTTCTGCAAAGGGTGTTAAATTCATAATATTTTCTTTAACAATGTCAGACACAAATATTTTTAAAATTGTTAAAGTAAAAAGGAGAAAATCACAAGCTGAGTCATCCAAGTTTGGTGAGATCTTATCCTTGTCTCTTAGTTTCCAATAATTTAGTCCCTAATTTAAGTAATTAAATATTTTGGTGGCACCGTTAGTTTTCAATTTTATCAATTGAGTCCTCAAATTATTATTTAGATTTTAATATGTTATTTTTATGGCGAGAAAATTATTTTAGATTCGAGGTTGTATATTTGTTTGTCCGATTTAATGAGAGAAAAATTAGAAGCTCGACCCAATACCTTCTGATCCATCAGTATGCGTAAGCCGTGATTAGTTGTATGGTTTTATAACCCTTATAAATAATTCGTTTAGAATATTACTCTGGTAGTAACTCTATTCTAATATAATTTAGGATTTTACACTGCTACGTATCGAGACGAGTACTCAATAGATGTCCTAATCCGACTCGTTTTGCGAGGTGTATTCATTATGTGTGTTATTTATCTATTTTGTTTTAATTAATTTTGAAAGCATGATTCTATTTACTATTTTTCTGAGTTTTGATTTTACTGATTTGAAATTTCTGATTATCTGGTACTTGTTCTCTAGACTACTGTTACTGTAATATGTTTGATTTATGATTTCCTGATTTTACCAATGCTATTTAAAATTGTTTTATTGGGGTACTGTCTGGGTAGGTGTCTGGAGACTCCAAGTTTTAGCTAGCTAGTAATTTCTTTATGTTCTGATCATTCATATTGGACTCCTAGATCCTAGGGGTATAGGGTAAGTCCTTATGGATGCCTGTTCTGGGAATTGCATTGGTGTTCGGGTGGAGGATAATTATCTATTCTAAATAAAAATTCTACTGTCATCTTTACTTTGTGATTTTTGAAATCTGATTTGAAATGTATAAATATGTTTTATATTTCACTTATTGGAGTAATTGAGCTCCCTAGCTCACTCCCCCTTCGTTTCCATTTTTCAGATATTTTGATTAGGCACCAGATAAGACACTTGGAGAACATTTTGTACAATATATTTTGTTGTAATATTTCAATGTTCAGAAATCCAAAATAAAAACAGATTTGGAATGTTTTACAAAATCAGTTACAAAAGCCATCTCACCAAGATTTTACGAGTTTAATTGTGTACGAGACTCCAACTGCCAAATTTAATCTTAAGACTTACCTCTATGTAGCAAGTATCAAAATTTTTTGGTATTAGCACTAGACGTGGTCATCAACTTTTTTGAGGGTTAGATTGGAAGACTAGATTTTCTGACTCGATAAATAATACATACGTAAATCCGCAACACCAGAAGTGGGAAAATTAGCAGCACTTCTCTGGTGATTGCCAATGGGTCATAGTGTACTTCCTAAGAGCATAAGTGAGGTAAGGATAAAGGAAAACCTTGATGTAATTAACTGGTATATACCTGAAGAGTTTCTTCCAATGTTTTCTCTTATTGAACAGGCATGTAGTAACAATTTCATTTGTTTTATGTTGCATATTGTAAGAATAACAGAAGTTCAAGTGAACAAATCTTTTTATGATTCCTATGTTTTTGTGAGATTCAGGAGAAGTTAATAAAAGGTTAATCATTCGTGCACCAGTCTTACGGTAAATATAGGACTTTGGAAGAACTCTGGAATGGTGAAATCTGAGGATACATAGCAAGTGTTTGATTTCATCACAGTTTTTCTCTTATCTATTTATGTATAATTTTCTTCCATGTTCATTGAAAATTCTTGGGATATAGTCATGTAGAAAATTCTCGGACTAATATACGAATTATCAGCATATCCATTAAATTTGAAGAGGGAAAACTGTACAGTGTTCTGTGCCAAGCATGGATGATACAGACAGAAAATGGATTGGAGAACAAAAATTGTGTTTTGATGTACTATATTGCAAAATATAGAAGCTATCAGAGGACAGAAAAAGAAACCAAAACATTTCATTTAATGTCTCAAGGTTGGATTGGAGCAGATTATATTTGTGTTTGCAGAGGAAGATCCTTGTGGCTGTAAACAATCCCTTTGTCACCATTCACCACCTGCCCACTCCTTCTCGATATCCTACATTTTTAACACCCATCTACTGGTTAGAACATCTACTATCTTTTAATCAAACAACATCGACTTAGTCCAAGTCGAGATCAATACCATCGAGTTGTTAACAGTCCTTCAACTCCGACTAGACCTCGAGCGTGGATCCTGGTTGTGCTTACTCCAACCTATTAAAATAGACACAATTCAGAAAATCAACTGTGTTGTCTAGTACAAGAAACTCTGGGAGATTGATTACCTCAGCACCAAGTCTGAATCTTGCTCAATCGTAGAACTGTGTGCTCACATTATGAAACCGCGACACTAACAAAAACAGACGGTGAATCGCAATAGAACTAAAATCAACCACTTATTGCTTCTATTCACTCAAACATGACAAGCAAAAAAGATGAGTTATCACTTCATGTATAACTTCAGCCTAGATGTAAGCATATCTATCTACTCTATGCAAAAATGTTTCAGCAACTTTGTGATCTTCAATGACAATGCAATCGGTGTGAGAACTGAAGAAAAAGCAAGTGAACTATACTCATGACAACTCAATGACATAGATAAAGCAAATGGAAAATAAAAAAGAATTCTGAGAGACATGACATGTCTTCCATGCTGGTGTATGTGGTCAATCGCAGCCTCCATATCATCCATAATTTCAAGTATGCAAGCCAGTAAACTATACTCATGATGTAATGATAAGGAACTCGCTCTTGGCCCACCATAAAGGGTAACACCTACATTTAACATAATATGTTTTACATGATCATGTAAAAACAATGCCATGAAAACCACCAAATCAATCAAATTAGAATATTAAAAAACTATAAAGTGATGCATAATTTGAATTCACTAGGTTAGTTAGAAAGCCATTCATATAACCATACCTTCACTTTAGGTTTTCTGTTAGGAATCTGTCATAAACATTTTTAGGTAGAATAATTAAATTATTATTTAAAAAACGATTATGACTTTAATTTGAAAAATTTGATGATTTTGAATTGATTTGAATTAAATAGAAAGAGAGTCGCCATCGACATTTGAGTTTGATAAATCCAATACCTAAAAGTCTTTTTAAAAACAATTTTAAGAAAAATTATTTTTAGACAAAACTCGATCTGTTTTTACCAAAAATTCAATTTCGTAGGTTCGAGAGTCGATTACGTGTGGGAAAGAATTAACACCTCACAACGTCCAAAATTAATACTTTGATTACTGTGTCGCTTACACATTGTCGTAAATAGTAGAAATTAAAAATCGAATATGAAATTAAAATATGATCCATTTATTGTACTTCGATTAATTTACTTCGAATTAATTAATTAGAGAAAATTTTTTAACTCGAAAAAAAATCTCAAAATTAACAATCCTCCGTCGAAAAAACTAACTCGAATATTTTTATCAGTTAAAGAACATTCTCTCCTCATTGATATTTAAAAAAAATCAAATATAAAATGAAAAACCAACATTTGACAAATAAAATTAACACAAAAATTTTATTAGATCATAACAAAGTTAATTCGTAAAATAAAATAGATTTATTTCAAACTCTCATTTTGTTTGAACGTCGTATCGGATCGTACCACTTCGATCAAGTGATACTTTCCATGTCCGTTCTACAAATACAATTCTTGAAAATATTCGGATAAGAATAAATTCATAATAACTCATAAAATAACTTCAAGACGAACAAGATATATACATGAGTATAAAAGTATCAAATGTATGGCATAAATGAATATATACGTATATATACATATATGTTGGATACATAATAAAATCATATATAAAAGTACGCGAGGGTAACACGTACATGCAATATAGTAAATAAATACATTTATTATAAAAAATCATAATGTATAACATGGTTCACATATATATACAAACATGTATTTATAAAATAAAGACAACTGGAAACGTGGAATCATTTAAAAATATAATGAAAATAAGGGAAGTTAAGTTTACTCAAAAAGACTAAGTAAAACTAATATTAAATTAAAAAATAGTAATTATTAGGATAACCACCGAAAATATTAAACAATGAAAACACTATAATACCAGTACCATGAATATCACTTAGGATTAAAATAAAAAATAATACAACTAAATGTCAAAATTCAAAGTATCCTAAAACATGACACATAGGAGCAGAATGTAATAAAGGAAAAACACATGTCCAGAATAGAAACAAATTCATTCCATGACCAAATTGAAATGTGGGTAAAATCATATGCTTAAAATAAAAACAGATTCATTCTATGATCCACATACAGAATTCATACAAATTACAAGGGTTGGTGCCACCAATATCCCATTAATACCAAGTCAACAATCCCTTTACCCCACGAACGGTGTGTTTCATTGCAAGGACATAAAATAGGGTTTTATTTTGTAACCCTACACTTAATTCCTCACCTTCTCTTCCTCAGCCGCATGAGTTATAGAAAAAAAGGTCCCAGCTCGCTGCTGTAAGAGGCAATCCGAAGCCCCGACAACTCTGACGAAGAAGAAATCCTGATCCAAGTTCCCCAAAAGTATGATTTTTTTGTTTTCCCTTTTTATATTTTCGTTCGAATGTGGATTTGCTCTCTCTGTTTTTTCTTTGAATGCCTTTTTCTGATGGGTTTCTCTATTCTTCTTTTTTTTCCAACCTTCAAATCGTTCTTTCCCCTCGTTTTTTTCGAATTTGGTTCCTCACCGAATGCCCGCATTCGAATCTCTTTGCTTTCTTTTTATCTTCTCTCTTCTCTGATCTTTCTCTGTTGTTTGATAGATTTGAGAGATACTTGAGTGTCTCTGTCCTCTTTGATGGATGATAAATCCCCTCAGGATTTTGTATTTGATTTCCTTTTATTGTTTATTTGGGCTATTGATGGATTGCTTGATTGATGGGTCACTGTTTGCAGGTGGGGCAGCCGGCAACAATATCAAAGAGCGGCAGTGATAGCAGCTAGGGTTAGGGTTATAAAATCCTATTCATATCAAGTCGGGTCCTGATCCGGGTCGAATGCTGGGCGAGTTGGTTAATTGGGGCTGTTGGGTTAAGTCTGGGTTGGGCCTTGTAATTTAGTAGCCTGAAAAATTTTGTACATTTGTATTAAAATAATAATAAAAAATAATAGTAATAATAATAATAATAAAAATAATAAAGTTAAATAAAAAAGATCGAGACAAAAACGGGTATCTACAAAACTAATTTATCTACTATGTATATATTATTGTGGGGCTTACTTAAATGTTAGCATTCTATGTGATTATTGTATTACTGGTAGGGAGTGCATTGTTTATTTTTTAACCGGAAAAGTGTCCCTCCATGTGCATGCTACCAGCTAACATAATATTTTTTTTGTTCTTAAAATGCAGATGAACAAGGACAAGGAGTACCACATAAATTTATATTTTGGTGGGAAATTTGTCCGAGACCCTTATGTGAGGTATGTAGGTGATGAGTTGATTAGGTTAAGAGAGGATCTACATACAATTTCTTACTTTGAAGTTTGTAAAATTATTTAGGATGCTTTACATTTCAATAGTATCCAAATAATATACTTTCACGAACCCTTTAGTGGCAGTTTTCAAGATAATATGAGGGTGCTTTGGGATGATACAATTACAATTACCATGTTGAACTATTGGGTGAAATATAGGTTTATAGATATATATGTTGAACATGAAGTAGACACCCCTGTTATTGTTGATGACATCTTGCTAATAATTGTTGGTGAGGGTAATGATAAGGGTGAATATGTTGCTGAGATACATGTTGATGAAGGAGAAGGTGGTGGAGATAGTGTTGTTGGAGATGTTGTTGAGGGTGTTGATGTTGCTGCTGGAGAGGGTAATGATATGGGTGTGGGTGTTAGTGATTGTGCTGCTGAAAAGGTGGCTGAAGGAGAGGGTGTTGCTGAAAGAGCTGTTGTTCGAGAGGCTGATGATGTAGGAGGTGTTCGTGATTGTGCTGCTGAAAGGGTTGCTGAAGGAGAGGGTACTGCTGTTGGTGAGGCTAATGATGTAGGGGAAGGTGTTACTGATTTTGCTGGTGAAAGTGTTGTTGAAGATGTAGGAGAAAGTGACAATACTACTACTGCAACTAAGGGTGTTTAAATCCGGGTACTCAATTTTTAGGTACCCGAAGTTTCAGGTATTTAATTTTTTGACCCGTGTCCTGACCCGAATGTTGCAGGTACCCGGATTTGACAGGTACCCGTAATTCGGGTAATCAGGTACCCAGATCTTTTTTTTTTCTACCAATAATCTAAAAACAACATATAAGTATATTCTTTTATTAGTATAGTCTTTTTTATATTTTTCATAATTAATCTTGATTTTATGAAGCATATTCTAATTAATGATGTTTAGTTGTGTCTAATTTTCATTACTTCTTTATCTTCTGCGAAAAGACTTGATCGATAAAGTATGATGTTGATTCTTTGATGGTCTTTTTAAAAATTTTCAAAGTTTAGAGACTGATTTAAAATCTGGACCATATCATAAGGATGTATGAAGTAATTAACCCTATACCATATCATAAGGATGTATGAGTTATACAAAAGTAACCAGGTACTCGGGTCATTGGTCGTTCTGTTCTTCTATGACGAGAGGTAAGGTTGTGAGAAATTCTGCATGATTTTCTAGTAATAAATATGCGGTTATACTGTTACTTGACTATTTTATAATTATGCCTGAAATATCTAAATTATTATTTATATTTGGGGGCACACTAAGCTTGGTAGCTCACTCTGTTTCTGATTATATTTTCAGATTACCCAGATGTATAACCAATTTGGCTATTGGAGGAGAAGTCTCGATTTCATACTGTGTGAGGCTAAAACTTTACTTTCAACCTCTTTAAATTATTGCATGGGTTTATTCCTGATTTTATTAATGGTAAACAATTTCTTTAAAAATGATTTATTAAACAAATTTACTTCTGTAATCATTTTTTGGGGTCAGCAAGGCTACCTTGATTCAATTGTAACTTCTAGGTCAGGTCTAAGGGATACAAAAATGTTGACTTGAGTGGTGTGTATCATGAAGCTATTGTTTGAGGTGGTATCTAGGAGAGGATGGGTTCATAACAACGCTAAAATTAATTTAGTGCTTTTTTTCGACTTTTGACGATTGATTTTGAGTCACAAAACTCTAACAATATCTTGTTAGAAAAGTCGTGATAAATTGGAAAGTTTGAATCATATTTTCTATGAGAAAAGGTGGAGAATCAAATAATGAATTTATTGATTCATATTCTACTCCATGAGATCTTTACAATGGTATCTTATATGCTCAAAACGGTTGAGTGATGAATGAGAAATTGATGCTCAAAGTACGATACTTGTGAATTGTGTAAGGAAAATGGAAACTCATGAACCACAATGGTGAGATAACAAGCATGAGACTGATTTATATACACTAACACACTTTCTAATCATTTAATTACTTGAGTTGAAATTGTAGATATTTTTACCTACTATGAAAATATATTTTTCCACTAAATGTGGCATATCTTTTTTTGAATATTATGAATTGAAATGATATAATATGATTTTCTTAAATTCACACATTAATATGTATGTACGATATTAATAGATTACTTCTGAGTTTATTCAGAAACTCATTATAGACACGTGCAAGATATAGTTCATAATCTCTGTAGATGCGCTACTGTATGTTGATAATCTTTGTTGTACCTTGAGAGACGGACGACCAATGATCTCAAGTACTAAGGAATAGTCGAAAATATGTCTTAAGGAAAATAAGCCGCAACATGTTTCCAGCTCATTATTTTATCAGAAATCAGATTTGTTCTATCTGACCATTGATCTATGCTAAGTTCTTGAAGGAAGATCCTCGTACTATTAGAGAGGGAGAAGCTAGACATTATTACTGCCTTCAATATGATTGAAGCTTGGAAACAGTCGGACTTCATATGTCCGGAACTATCTCCTGAATAATTTACAATATTCATTGTATCTAGTGTACTCTGGTTATCAAACAAAAAATAAATTATACGAGGCATTTGACCACAAATATCAATATGAAGATGCTGGAGCTAAAAAGTTGTTAGTTGTCATATTTTTGAAGTATACTAGGATTGATTCCAAATCAGTAGTAAATCAAGTGGAGGGACTCCAACTGAATATTCATGAAATTCTTGCTGAAAGTTTGTTCATAAGCGAATCATTCTAGGAGGAAATTATTATTGAAAAACTACCTCCTAGATAGGACGACTTCAAAAATTATCTGAAGCATAAAAAGAAGGAAATAACAGTAGATGAACTAATTGTTAGACTTCGCATAGAAGAGCAAAAGATAGTCAATTCTAAAAGCTCTGAAACCTGTTGTCAACTTTCGTGGAGGAGCTTGGACCACAGCCGGTGACTGGTCTTGGAGAATAAGAGAACGAGTACCATTGCTTCGTGGGGATTCCTGCTAATGTGGAACGCTCGAGCAAGGGGCACCAAACCTGGATGCACACCTAAGGTGAAGAGGCAGCTGAGTAGACGCTACTAGGGTTTGAGTCAGTGTGTTGTTGGGCTGCATATATATATATATATATATATATATATATATATATATATAATATTTAAATCTCGTGGGTTTGGAATTTTGGCAGCTGAGTAGACGCTACTAGGGTTTGAGTCAGTGTGTTGTTGGGCTGCATATATATATATATATATCTAATATTTAAATCTCGTGGGTTTGGAATTTTCAAGTGTTGGGAAGTCTGTGTAATCGAATAACCAACACCCAAGCAAATCAAATGGTATTTGTTTAGGCCTAATTTTGACTTAAAATATAATAACATGCCCCACTTGACAACCCCTACGTATAATTATAACCCAAACGATACCAAATCCAACTCCATTCATATCTTTTATCAGAGGTTGTCTAAAATTCAACATGACAACTTGAACTCGAGAAGTTTCCAACAAATCAATTCAACCTTTGAACAATGATAAGCCCTTGATCAAATAAATCCAACAATTCCATCCTCGTATGATTCAAAATCTTCTAATTGCCTTGGATTTGATTTACAAAGCCTGACAAAATTGGAATATTACAAATATAATTTAAACACTAATTTTTTTATTAAGGCTACATAAAATATTGTGTGTGGCCAATAATATTTTTTGAATAATCGAGTTTGAAATTATGGAAATTATTTTTCAATGGGTAGGCCATATATTTTGAAACTCTGTGCCAATAATTTGAGAAAACATTGGAATTTGCTTACCTAATAACATAGACTTTGTAGCTTTAAATTTCAATATTCGTACTAAAATATGGATATAAAAGTATTGTCTTGCACATCTATTCAAGACACTTCAGCTTAACACCTTAATTCAATCCTTAAACTATCAAAATATTATATTAATTAAGTCTTTTTACTAGTTTAATCTTCAACCATTTTTTATTAAGCTAAAATATTAAAAAGTAGTATATGTTCTAAGTACTTTTAACTATTTGATAATGAACGCTCAATCGTCTTACTGCAATAGTTGATGTTTGAATCCATGACCTCTAAGAATAATTATTATTCATTTAATCGCTAAGGTAATTTGATTCCTACTAGTTTTCAATTAATTAATTTGTGCAATAAATATTAACTCAAATTTGACGTTGAGTATATTAAAAAATATATAGATCAAATTATAAACATGTTTATATTGATCAAATAAACAACTTGGATTCAATATGCTAATGAAGAAAGAAAAACTATCTATACTAAAGTTAAATGAATTTTTTTAACACGTCAAATTCAGATTGTTCATGGAACAAGTGTACAAAATTTTAAAAGTTGATACAAATATTTTAAATATACTCCAGATCAAATCTAAATTTACATTTAACACTTCAACTAATATTTAGCCAATAAAAGATTTAATTATTATTTTGTTAATACTTTAAAAATTCAAATATAATATTTTAAAGTTTAGAATCAATTTAAAGTTTTGGTCAATGAACGGACTAAATTACCTCAGTACATGATTAAACGAATCTTTGTTGTTTTTAGAAGTCACAGGTTCGAGCACTAACGACTGCAAGGGTAATTGAGTGTTTATTATAATTTTTTTTATAAAATTTATTTTGTTTGAATAATCTGAGTAATTATAAGGTAATATATATATTAGTATATTAACAATACGTAAATATATATATATATATATATATATTCGTATATTAACAATACGTATACACTCAACATACATGTCTCTTCAAATTAAAAACTTAAAAAAAGTAATATTATCATTGAACTCAATTAAAAAAAGTATTTTATTTTATTCTACGAAAGTCTAAATTAATTTTTAAAGACTAGAAACCTCCATTAAAGTAAGGCTGTAATATTGCTTTCATTTCATAAAACAAATGTGACAGCCACACAATCCACCAATGTACCCAAAAAAACAAAACAGTCCACCAAAGAATTAAGAAGCAAATATTTCATAAAGATCATTATTCTTTTTTTCCACTATCCAAACTATATAGTGCTGATTTCTAATAGTATAATCCATAGTTGGGGATTAAACTTATACCAATGAATCATCATTTTAACTCAAAAATAAAAATAAAAATGAATCATCGTTTATTATCCTTACCCTAAAGTTAAAGTTGATTGAATTTGACAATTATTTTTATTTTATTTTAATGATATATATATATATATATAATTTTATAACAAGGTGCGGTTCCATGCAATTCATGCTATTATGGAAATGGCATCCATTTATCTAGCTGAATGCATAATTTTATATTATGAGATAATTTATAAAATTTTAAGAATAATAAATTTAAAATAAATAAATATAATTTAAGGAAATTGCCCCATCACCCCTTTAATCCATCTCTACATTTTCTTCACATTATTTTTCTGCGTTGATATTAATTTAATTCTACCATGGAATTATAGTTATTATGGATGCTCAAAAGGCATAGTTTTCAGAGAAGAGAAGCCATGAAAATCTTACTCGAAATCAAGCTTCCAAATCTTATTCATATGATGCCCTTCATTATCTCACCAACTAAACACAATAAAACAAGGGAAAAAAAGGAAGAGCAAAAAAGAAAACAGAGAGAGAGAGGGAGAGAGAGAGAGAGAGGAGGATAAGCCAAGCATATTAGATTTGCCTAGAGGTTAAGATTTCCTCAAAGACATGGTAAATCGTCTTCTTAATTTTCTCCAAATTATTTAAGCCCATGCCTCAAATTCAAAAACTCTTGGCCGAACTGCATATGATTGATAATACCATTGAATCCTTGG